CCAAGGCGGACAGACAAACCGTTGATCTACCACCTCGACGTTGCCGCGATGTACCCCAACATCATGTTGTCGAACCGACTACAGCCGGACTCAATCGTCGACGAATCGGTGTGTGCAGTATGCGACTACAATCGGCCGGAGAAGGAGTGCGACCGCAGGCTTGAATGGGCGTGGAGAGGCGAATTCTTCCCAGCACACAGAGACGAGTACAACATGATCCGGCACGCGCTGAACCAAGAGACCTTCCCCCCGAAGAAACCTGGAGGACCACAGCGAAAGTTCGTCGATTTGACGGAAGCGGAACAGACGGCACTGTTGCACAAGCGACTCGGAGACTACTCTCGCAAAGTATACAAGAAGATGAAGGATACGAGGATCGAGACACGCGAGTCTATTGTGTGTCAACGAGAAAACCCGTTCTATGTCGATACCGTGCGTCGTTTCCGTGACCGGCGGTACGAGTACAAGGGGCTGCTCAAGACATGGAAGAAGAACCTCGATACTTATGTTAGCGAGAGCCGCTCGCTAGCAGAGGTGGACGAAGCGAAGAAGATGATCGTTATCTACGACTCATTGCAGCTCGCTCACAAGTGTATCCTGAACTCGTTCTATGGGTATGTGATGCGTAAAGGTGCACGCTGGCACTCGATGGAGATGGCCGGGATTACATGTCTCACGGGCGCGACAATCATCCAGATGGCGCGTGCGCTGGTGGAACAGATCGGACGTCCGCTCGAACTGGACACGGATGGCATCTGGTGCATGCTACCAGGCGTGTTCCCGGAGAACTTCAAGTTCAAATTGACCAACGGCAAGAGTATCTTCATGTCGTACCCTTGTACGATGCTCAACCACCTCGTCCACGCGCGGTTCACAAATAATCAATACCACAATCTTAACCCAGAAACTGGGGAATACGACGTCCACTCCGAAAACTCCATCTTCTTCGAACTCGACGGTCCATACCGGGCCATGATTCTCCCGTCGTCCAAGGAAGAAGACAAATTGCTCAAAAAACGTTACGCGGTATTCAATGACGACGGTTCTCTTGCCGAACTCAAAGGTTTTGAGGTCAAGCGACGTGGCGAGCTCCAGCTCATCAAGATCTTCCAATCCCAAATTTTCGAGAAGTTCCTCCTCGGCACTACGACTGAGGAGTGCTACGGTGCTGTCGCGAACGTCGCCAACCAGTGGCTTGACATCCTCTTCGCTCGCGCGGAGACACTCTCGGACGATGAGCTTGTCGAGCTCATTGCCGAGAACAGAAGTATGTCGAGGACGCTCGCCGAGTACGCCGGACAAAAGTCCACGTCGATTAGCACTGCCAAGAGGCTTGCCGAGTTCTTGGGCGACCAGATGGTCAAGGATAAAGGTCTCGCTTGCAAGTTCGTTATCTCTGCAAAACCTACCGGTGCTCCCGTCACCGAGCGGGCTGTTCCAGTTGCCATCTTCTCCGCAGAAGAATCCGTCAAGCGGACCTACCTCCGAAAGTGGCTCAAGGATCCTGGCCTCGGTAACTTCGACCTTCGTTCGATTCTGGACTGGGAATACTACATCGAGCGGTTGGGTTCTGTGATTCAGAAGCTGATCACTATTCCCGCGGCCATGCAGGGCGTCTCGAATCCTGTTCCAAGGATCAGACATCCCGATTGGTTGCATCGCAGAGTCGCTGGGGCTGTGGACAAGTTCAAGCAGAACAAAATGACGGACTTTTTCTCCGTCGTTCCGCGGAAGGCACAACAAGACGAAGAAAGCGATATGGAAGACTTCGGGACGCAGAAACTTGCCGATAAGGGACGTATCGCTATCGTGAACCACAAGGCGACTTGGAAGCCAAGTCCTGAACGTGAAGAAGACGATGCGTATACCGCTCCTCTCCCAGATCCCTGTTTGGATTACGCGGGTTGGTTAAAAGCGATCAAACCTCGCTGGCGAAAGCGGCGCGAAGCACGCTGGGGTGGAGAGACATCGGCAGTCGTCCCGTCCTTGTTTAGGGGCGCCCGGATACGAACGATACAACGGTGGGACATCGTCCAAATTCGACCAAGCAAGATTCCTGGACGCTTTACGATGTGGGTCTCCATCGATGGCGAGCTTACTCCCGTCCCCCTTCGTATCCCAAGGCAATTTTACCTCCATTTCAAGAACCCACCCAGAAATGACTTGTTCCGGACGGAGTACTACCAGGCGGAGAAGGTCACACGACACCTGCCAAGGGATATTGCTTGTATCAACCTATACAAAGTGGTCGTCAAGGAGGATGTTTACGAGGACATCCAGGAACACTTCACGGATTTGACGAACGATCCGAATGTCGACGGGGTATTTGAGCGGCAGGTACGGGTTGCATGCCGCACCTTGACGTATATCTGATATCATTCAAGGTTCCACTCGAGATGCGTGCCCTACTTAAGCTGGGCAAAACGTGCACCGTCGATGAATTAGGATTGACCCTCAATAAAGCCCAGACCTCGGGAGTCGAGCTTAGCCAACTCGATTGCGCCAACCGTTCTCTTTCTCGCAAGACGTACCTTGATGGCGGGCGTGGTAGCAAGTATCTATTCCTCTATCATGCTTTCTCGCAAAGTGCCCCCATACACGTGTTTGCCCTTTTCCTTCCTAGCGGTTCCGTCAAACTACATCTAGTAGACCCAGCAACGCGTCGTCAAGGTATACCCCGTTTGCAGGAATCGTACGCCGAACTTTTGAAGAAGCGACAAGGTCGTCATGGAGATCCTGTTTCCATCCAATATCCCCCTTCTTGCGAGTTCACCACGACATACCACAGCAAAGATATCTCTGCCCTCAAGGCAATTTCCCGAGAACTTGGACTTTTGGAAAACTTATCGTACACGGTCCTAATCTCCTCGTCGAAAGAACAAATCTACTTTGACACCCACGTTCCAAAACTCTCCAGATTCCCCGTCTTGCCGATGCCCAAAGCCAAGGTTTACCATTCCCTCGACGTTTTTCCTTGGCAAACTGCATGTTGCTCAAAAGATGCTACACTGTTATGTCATGGGAGGTACATGGGTCGATCGTTTGTTGGCTCTTGCAGACTACTACGACATTCCCGTCGGGCATATCGACGGCGATCAACCTCTCATTCTGTCTGACATCAGTTTCGCACGTCGGCTAGTACAGCAGGATATTGTCCTTTGGTGGTCGCCCACGGAACGTCCAGATCTCGGTGGCAGGGAGGCGGACAACCGGCCAACCGAGGAACTACAGAGCACGGAGTTCATGACGCCCGGATGTTACTCCAACGTATGCCTGGAAATTACGGTTCGCAACCTGGGCCTTAACTCTGTCCTGCACTCTGTGGTTGTGAACGAGTTGGAGGGAAGTGGCGGGACGACCGCCTTTGACTCTACGTCGCATACGCTGAATGCATATAATCGGGGCGAAGCGCCACGTGACCTTACCCTCGGGGAGTCCAACGTCTCTACTTTGACGTTTGGTATCATGAAGACGATGGTCAAGGCCTGGCTTCTTGACAAAATCCAGTGTAACTTCGACAGCCCTGCCACACTCGCCGTCGACCACTTTTGGCGATGGATCAGCACGAGCGGATCCCATCTCTACGATCCAAGTCTCCACCGTTTCATACACTGGGCTTATGCGGAAAACGTTCATTCAGATGCTTGCGGAATTCAAGCGACTAGGTTCGCATGTCATCTATGCCGACTTGAGTCGAATCTTGCTTGCTACTTCAAAACCTCCTGGGACAGCCCACGCCTACGCAACATACATAACTACCGCGGTCACATCCCACGAGCTATTCCAACATGTCTATCTGAATACCGAGCGTTTCTACGACTATCTATTGTTCATGGATTCGGCCAATTTCGCAGGCGTCGTTTGCGAGAATCCGCTCGCCCTCGAGCCCCCAGAAGAGGTCACCATCGAGATGCGATGGAACATCGAGACTTTCCTGCCGCCAGCCATCCAGGATGACCTCAGCTTTGCCATCCAGTACTTTATTGTCGAACTTTACAAGGTCCGACAGAAGGCAAACGCGAGTTCACGCGTCCCCCTTCGAGTGACGAGGAACATTGCACCCGATGTCACGCAACGCGACGCTGGGAAAGCGAAGGAGCTGGATGCAACTCGCGACTTCATTGCTAGAAAGCTCACCCGTAAACTTTTGCGACTTGTGGGTGCTGTTCAGACCAGGTACAGAGACTCGATGCAGGACGAGAAGCTCCACTCCCAATTCGCGTTCCCAATACTTCCAGGTTCTTACCTCACGTTCACCAACCCTGTTCTCGAGTTTGTCAAGTTTACTTGCGCGGCACTAGCCCTCGCGACAGACTACCAGGTGGAAATTGGTCTTTTGAAGCGGAACCTACTGGAACTGGCCGGGATTCGGGAGTTTGCCAACGAGGCCATTTTCCGAAATCCCTGCGAAACGCTCAGGTTGCCCAACGTTGCATGCAAAATGTGCGATGCACTTCGCGATTTTGACCTTTGCCGTGATCCCGACCTCATGCCGAGTGGTGCCGCCATAGGACCACCCAAGTGGGTGTGTCAGCGATGTGAGGGCGAATTCGATCGGACTGCGATAGAGATGGAACTGGTTCGGATGGTTGGTTTGATCGAGAAGTCGTTCGCTCAACAAGATATGCGCTGTTCCCGATGCAAGCAACTCCGGCCAGACAATATCTCACGATACTGTCAATGCTCGGGCTCGTATCAACTCGTCCTTGGGAAAGCGGAGATGAAGCGGAAGCTGAGAACGACCCTCAACGTGGCCATCGTGCACAATTTTGCGAGACTAAAGGTGAGTTTCGAATGGAGGCTTGGAAACCTCAATGCTGAGTATTCTGTTGCAGGAGTGTGCGCAGGCCATGCTAGAGAATTGGTGAGAAATAAAGATGTCCTGGAAGAACACCCTGTTTTCGATCGCAGCCCAGTACTGTTTTGATAGACGTTGTAAGATTTGTTTAATGACCCACTCACGTTTAGCTTTGGTGTGCAGATGTCTGTTCGGAGAACGGTCTCTGGTAGTATATCGGATAGTACATCCGCCTGTCATGCGATTGCTCCGCAGACCGCGGAAGAGCGGGGTTCGACTCCCCGCCAGAGAGACAGTACTGGAAATCACACCACGGTGTTTCAACAATTTTGATACTGACTGCATCATGAGTTATTTTTATTTTACGACAGCCATGATACCATAACTATTGACACCAGCCTGAGGATACTCTTCACTAGCCGTATCTGATCAGTGTGGCAACTTGAATGACCACCGCCGCAGCAACGAGGAGGACGGACATCTTTTGGCTTTAAACGTCGTACGTATAGCTGCTACAAATAAGCCCAATTCCCGCCATCATTTCACGGATACCAGTTCAATGCTGGTCGTATCAGCAAGCCCATCAATCTGAGCCCGTCTAGCACTCCTAGCCGTTCCCCAGTTCGAATCCATCAACACCATGGATCCTACTCTACAGACCTTCTCTCGCATTTATTCAAGAGAATAATTATGCATGTTGTACGCACGTCCATACTTTCGAGGATCAATCTCACACTTTTTTTTCGTAGGCGCAGTCCTCACCGTTGTCGGATATGATTACAGTATGCCGGTGTTGTTTCTGTTACGGACTCATCATGGCATTGATTTTTACAACGTCAGTTCTTACATTCTCGAAAGAGGTACAGTTCCACATACTCTCATTGCAAAGGCAACGTGACCAATTATCAACAAAGATAAGATACATCTGGGTCAGCACACGGCCAGCTCCAGATGAAGATAACCCTAATGCTTGAGATGGTAGTGCGAACCGTGGACCTGGGTGTCGACGCTGTTCATTCTTGTGTGTGCCGAAATTCTCGCTCTCTCTGGCACATCCTCTAACGAAGCCCTTCCAGGTTCGCTATTGTGGTCTCTATTTTATGGCGTGAGCTTATGGCTGCGGCCTGCGATACATACATATCTGCAGTATTAATTCTGACCTTTGGCATTTATCAGATTGAGTGCTCTCTGTAAGTTCGACAATAACACATGAATTTGGTCCAGGTTTGACCACGCAGCAAGATGGAAGTAGTTTCCTACCCGGTCCCACAAAGGTATTTCCCTCAAACTCAATGAAAAATGAATGTACTGAGATAGATTAGATGTACGTTTCGGCCTCATGGTTGCGCTTCTGACCATAGCTTGATGCATTGAACAGTTGTGAGCACTCATCCAAAGTTTTCCCTTTTTTTCATTCATGATTACTTCAAGGCGATACTTTGATCGTCATTACACAATGGATGTTTCTTCTGTGGCTCAGCGCAGCTGATCGTGAGTACAAGGTCTTGTAGCTCAGATCAGAAAATGAAATCTGTGTTGGCAATTACAGTCATAATGATCCTGAGAGTTTGGGCAATGTACGGTCGGTCGAGGGTGATCCTTAGCATGCTTCTTGGCTTTTTCTCCTGTCGAGATTATCTCTGTTGTGGCAATTGCCGCTTTCTACAGCAATCCGAAAATTGCACTGGGTATGTCGCATTGTCGATGTTGACTTGATGCACGTATACTGAACTGACCAACTCAGGTTTTTCCATCCAAGTACTGGATGATTCACTATGCTCGTTTCAATACACAGAGCCCATTTTACCGGAAGTGTCTGCTATCTTTCGAATGATTTTTGGTGCAGTGTTATGCATGCTGGCGACCATCCAGTTCGCGAGGGAGTTGCTTCAAATGCACCGCGTGACAAAGGAGTGGCAACTCAATCGATATATCAATTTACTGGTCCAACAGGGCATCCTGTATTTCTTCGCGTACGTCCTTACCCTCATTCACTCTCCCGTCGTGATCTTTTCCCTGTACTGTCAATTTAAGGTCGCTAAAAATTGTTTGGGACGGAGCTAATTTAATTTTTCCCGCCATAGCATGTTCTTGCTGAACATCCTCAACCTAGTCAGTGTCATGGGGCACATTCCCTGGGAAATGACAACCTGGCAGGAAGTATTCGCGACTGTCATGGAATACACACCTGCGTTCACTCTTACCCCTCGACTCATCTTAAGCATACGAGAGTTGTACGCACACGACGTCCAAGGCAGGCGCGGGGGTGGGATCGACTCCGAGTTTGGCTTATCAGCGTTATCTGACAGCGGTTCTGCCGGGAGTCGAATTATGTTCGCAGGAGATGGATGGCATGAAGAGGGGATCGAAGGACGCTCAGGCTGAGGAGGTATCAACTTGAAGGGAGATCGACTCGCCTTAGCTAGCGGAGTTGGACTATTGTTTTCATGTACCAGCAGTTCACTTCAACTACAAATATCTTGCATTGTGCTGAAGATAACTCAAAGGACGATGACTCGGAGACTTACACACTGTCCCTTCATATGTGACCCTAAACGTTCAGGCTGCAACTTGCGTCCGGATCCTGGACATGGTAACATATAAGTCAAATATGCTACAGAGTTTGTGGGAGTGGAGAAACTCGGACATTTGGACTAGGAGAACGATGGTTACACAGTCGAACTGACTCGAGCAGATACAGACATCCAATACTAGCGGCGAGTACGGATGAAGCTGTGCACTGTGGCAATGGGAAGATGGATCGAGGCACGCAAGGAGCGACAAGAGGCACTCTAGAGGTCCTAAGTAGCTTCCTGGAAGGATTCGCACCGTATCATCCATAGGAGGCTCTCGAGAGGTTGAGTCTCTTAGAGGTATTGCCTCCTGCATCGAAAATGAGTCTTGGAGACTGCTATTACCCCCGAAAAGTGCTGCCTGAGGTGCATCAGGTCGATGGTATTGGCAGTGACAGACTGAGATCGGGAGGATCTCAGTCTGTCACTAGTCACTCCCGATCTCAGTACCATCGACCTGACACATCACGATTCACGACATCACCGAGCCCGTGCACCGCCGCGTTGTTGCTTTATACCTGGCCGCTCCATGGAGATTAGACTGACTGATAGGTTCCCCGATACATTAATATTATTGTAATAAATCAAAAGTTTGTCTCTAAAGACTACCTATGACATCTAGTACACTCTGTTCGAAGTCTTTATTGCTAGATTGCTAATTGAGTAAGATCTCTCGGCGAGCCGGATCTCAACATTCCCGAGTCCCGACTCACCCCGAGGACCAGTCTTACCCGCAGAACACCGTTTACCCGCGGTATACGGGTACGGTGTACACGCGGGTATGGCTCCTCGGCACCGTACGGCGCTGCGATGAGAGTGAGGAATGCCACGTCAATTATATTTGAGTTTTCATTGACAGTGTCGAATTCGCCGTAACGAGGAGAATGAGTACAAGCCAAAGACACGCCAAGTCTTCACAGAATGTTACGTACCTTGACTTCGGCGTGAGGTTGTTCCAGTTAGTCCATTTTTGGTCGCCATCTAAGTGTTGAAAGGTACTGATCTGCAGCTGCTTCAGAAAATTCTTGTCTACAAGTTCTGAACTTCTTTCTCGGTCTAAGCGATCTCCAACAATAATCCTGTTTCTTTGAAACTGGTCAAGTTATCGGATCGAAAGATTCGAAACGGTATGTGCAGCATCAGACCAGTTTTTTCTAGAAGCATTCGGTTGAAAGCTGACAACCAATCATCGTCTTCCACCATGCCGTAGGTATGTGGTCTGTCCCGTGAGTCAGTACGAGTCCTATTTCAGCGACAGCGTACATGTAAAGATGCATTGGCGGTCCCGGTCAGATCCGGTCCACTAGCATCTACACCAAAATCGTGAGCCTAAGACTCGCTTGTGCAACTGTTCACCAAACAGTAACGTTACTGTAAGCCCCGTCCTGACGGCCCACTCCATCCCTAATGGATTACGGGAAGCAACATTAAACCAAATTTATGTCGTCGTGGTCTTATAAAATGCCTGCCAATGCAGAGAGACCTCTCAATCCCGCAAAGCATTGCAACACAACATGCAGAACAAGCTCGCCTCCCATCCCTTATTTACTGTCAGCACCGAGTCTTTTTCCGTCGATGAATCCATCTCGCTCTCTTATCAGCGAGCGAAATTGGTGATGCAGACATACGGTGGGTACGTCACTACGTGCATTTCATGCCAATCCTCACACGTTGCACAGAGTTGTCCGCGGAGGATATCGAACATTTTTCCGCCAAATATTGGTCTATGTGGACTGATCCTATCATGTCACGCGACTTCTCCATGTTTATAATCTTGATATGTCACGTCGGGTTGACCATTGGCGTGCTTTCCCGTCATCTACATCAACGACCCGACTTGGTACCTCTCGTAGACCGCCTTCTCCGGTTTGACACCATTGGTCTCTACTTGATGACAGAGAGAGGGCACGGATTGGACGTCTTCAACTTGGAGACCACAGCCACGAAGACGTCAGAAGGCTTCATTATTAATACGCCCAGAGAGGAGGCATGCAAGTTAGTCTGTGCCCTCAGCACAACGCTTGTGTTACTGATCAAATGGATAGATTCATGCCGGCCTCCACACCATCTTTCGGGATTCCCAAAGTAGCCGTCGTTCTGGCTCGGCTGGTCGTGGACGGAGAAGATCGTGGACCTCGCTTCTTCATCACCCCCATCTGCAACAAGCGGGAAATGTTCAAGGGGGTAGAATCAATCCGACTTGGTCCGCGCCCTGGTACCCCGTTGGACTTCGCTATCACTCGGTTCGATTCTGTGGTCGTCCCTGACACCGCGATGGTCACCTCTACGTTGGGAGACTATTCGTTACCCAAGTCTCCGTTGGAAGCTATGTGGAACGAGAACTGGCGCGTCCAGATCGGAGGCATGACACTTCTTGCACCTGCGATACCTTCCCTCAAGGCTGCAGCCTTCATTGCTGGAAAGTACTCTATGCATCGTTGCATCACGGGGAAGGCATCCGAGCGAATCCCCATCATTTCATTCCGAACACAGCAATGGCCTATCTTGCACGCAGTTTCTGTAAGTCTCGTGATGGAAAACTGGTATTCCGTCGTAATAGGGCAGATCACGGAGGACCCTTCCCTCGATCCTCGCGTTCGGCACGGTCTCTCCATCGTCGTGAAGACCACTCTTGCCCGCCATGCGTCACGTTGCGCATCCGAGATTTCCGAGCGTTGTGGTGCTCAGGGTACCTTTGAGAACAATTTTATGGCCCGTT